TTTTTTATTTTTATTTTTTTTTTATTTTATTTTATTTTTTTTTAATTTTGCATAGAATTTGCCTATACTATATATTTCTATATGTATTTCATATTCATTATAAAGGCGCAATTTTCTTTGATTCCGAAATGGCTTTGGCTGAGGCCTTCGATGCGGCTGTGGAGGAAGTAAATGCTTTGATGCCCGAGCTGCAATTGGAAGCAATCAAGCACTATGTGACTATCGATGATAGCATCGTGCTGCAGGATTTATGTGAGTTTTATTATAAACAATATTTGAAATATTCAAATATTATATCGATGATTTTCTATAGCCTGCGACATGATTGGCAATGGTGTTGCTGCTATTTTGGGACCAAGTTCAAAGACAACCAGCGGTAAGTCAACTTACTTAACCATTCATGTGCTCTGGCAGCGCGGCTAAAAGTTTCAATTATTTTTAAACAAAAAATCAACGTCATAAAACTATGTCTGGCAGGAGGAGGGCGACTGCCTATTGTTGTTGTTGTTCAGCTTGTTGTAGTTCTCAGAGATTAAGCAAATCACATGTGTGTTTATATAAAAAGAAAGTGATAGCGAGAGAGAGAGAGGGAGTGGGGGAGTGTTATAGAAAGAAACAGAGAGGGAGGCAGAGAGAGCGAGAGTGAGAGAGAGAGAGAGAGAGAGAGAGCGAGAGAGTGTGAGTGACCGAGTGAGAGAGAGAGAGAGAGAGAGAGAGAGAGAGAGCAATTTATGCCACTAACCTCGTTAATGATTCTTGATGTTTCGCATCAAATTGGCCCAAACAAATATTTTTGCAGTAAATAAACGACACGGCTCGCCAGCTATATCTACTCTATATACATACATACATACATATATACGAGTGTATATACAAATGGGACACTTACGAGTGGTTTATTGGCCCGTTGCCAGCCTAATGCCAATCGTTTATATTTCATTGCGTTGTTTTGCTCGGCACTTTCATTGTGTGTTTTGTTAGTTCGCCAAGTCATTCTATACAAAAATATACATTTTTTAGATCAATTCGATCTGTATGCGTGTGTGTGTGTGTATGTGCTTTTCAGATATCGTTGAGGTTCTGTGCAACATGACGGGCATTCCGCATCTGCAATTCGACTGGCATCCACAGCAATCAGCGCGGGAGCGTCTCAATCATCAGCTGACGATCAATGTGGCGCCCTCAGAGCTGATTATATCGACAGCTCTATCGGATATATTGCGCAGCAAGGAATTCGATTGGAAATCATTCACGATTGCCTATGAACGAGACACGCGTAAGTAAATTCGATTAGAAATCAAGCTGAGACAAGTTTATAATAAATTAAAA